TTATTCTTTTTGTCTTTTCTATATTTGGCAATTGGTGCGGCTCTTCTCTCAGATGATTGACACCCTTCTCTCTCGAGCAACCATTGTGGAGTTGCTCCTCTCATGGTGATTAAAGCCTCCACCATAAGTGACTAACAGTCTTCTCTAAACCTTGAATTTCTTGCTATTATTTGCCAATTCAAGCAAAGCTGATAATGTTATGGAGACTTGCAACAAACACCATTTTTGGTGGCTGAGAGTGAGTCCATTTTCATCTGTAGTATAGAGAGAAATTTCTTTCAGTGTGCAGTTACAGCTATTTTCTAGAGGAAAGAGTTCCATCATAGCCTTTTTTTAGGGTGATTGTGCACTATTCCAATGATATTTCTACGGAAACTTTCTGTGTTTCCAAAACAAAACTCAAGTTGATTTTCTCACTTTGAGTTTGAGGAGCAAGTTGAATATTACGAGGATAGTTATATAGACCCACATATGTGTTATTGAACTAGAGTAAGGAAAATATTGCAATATATTCTATAGGATATGTTAGGGTATTATGTACTTAACTATAGAATGTTTACTTGTTTTATTAGGCATAGAGGATGATTACCTAGCATATTGTATATATCCCAAGAATCTTATATTAGGGGTTCCATTTGCACTTTGTTTATTAGTCAAGTTAATAAGAAGTTTTCTCTTATTTCATTGCAAGACGCTACCTTTCAAGCTATTTTTTCCTGAGGCACACCTTGTTCCCGACTATTAATGTACTCTACTCACTGCTTCAAACAAGTAAGCTTATAAAGTGTCAGCTATACAAGTGATACACTTCAAACCAACCCAAACTCCACCGCACTCATATATGCTCCCGTACTTGTCTTACCAAGTCTGTCAGTTTTACTCCGCAACTTAGTCTGAAGCAGTAGATGCTGGCATTCCACTTCTCAACAAGCATCTTTAATCTGCTTCTCTTGTTCTTGTTGTTTTTTCTCCTAATATTCTGACACGGTACGTTAGCCTTATTTGTTCTGTTCAGCTAGCCTTCTTCTCATAGCGTCTTTTTCATAGTTGGCATGAAATTCCAACTTCTTGAGTTCCATCTGGTCTCTTAGCTTTGATCCCCTGAACTTTCCATTACTCTTCGAACCGGGCTTCTTTCTTTTCTTACTTTTTCCTTTCAATTCTCATGGATAGCTCCACAGATACAGCCTTAACAATCAACATAATGGGTCTAGAAAAAGAAATCTAGAGATTGCACACAGGATGGACATATGCAGATGTGATAATCTCTTCATGGCAGACCTTCATGCAAGATTGAATGTACCTGTTGTACATTTAATGTGGCTCAAACTAGTGGAAGTTGCCTCCAATCTTTACCTAATTCAAAGAACGAACACCGTCCATGTGCTTATATTGACCATCTTCAGTATCAAACAGTAATACAACAATTATCCTTAGATATTGCTTTGCGGTCCAGCCTTTTGACTCATTTGTTTATGTGACCTATGGTTTAGAAAGTGAAAAGTGTAAAATAGGAATAAGGTTTGTGGGCCAAAAGCAAAAAGTGAGAAATGAAACGTATGCTTATTTTGAAGTGAAGCTAAGACTTCTCAAAAATAAAACTATAACAAACATATGCGAACTTAATACTCCCGCTGTCTCAATTTGTTTGACACCGTTTCTTTTTTTTTTTATCTGTCCATAAAGATTGAAACGTTGATATATTTTGAAACTCCTAATATTTACCTTAGGCAAGTTCTACAGAGTGGTAGTTAGATCTACTATGTTGTATGGTGCGGAGTGTTGGCCAGTCAAGAAATCCCATGTCCAGAAGATAAAAATAGCAGAAATAAGGATGTTGAGATGGATATGTGGGCATAGCAAGAAAGATAAGATTAGGAATGAAGTTATTAGGGACAAGGTGAGAGTGGCCCCTGTGGAAGACAAATTGCGGAAAGCGAGGCTGAGATGGTTCGGACACGTGATGAGGAGAGACATAGACGTGCCGGTTAGGAGGTGTGAGAGGTTGACCATGACTGGTCTGAGGAAGGGTAGAGGTAGGCCTAAGTAGTACTGGGGAGAGGTGATTAGGCAAGACATGACGTTACTTCAGCTTACCAAGGACATGACCCTAGATAGGAAGGTTTGGAGGTCGAGAATTAGGGTCGAAGGTTGATAGATAATCGAGGGTGTCTCCTAGTATTACCGGCAGTGTTAGTAATATTCTTATTTCCTGTTCCTAGACCTTTTATTATATGTTGTGTCCTTCCTACCTATAGTATTAGTAATATTCTTGTATTTCCTATCTCTGGATATTTGTTAATATACACGAGTCTTTGTTTTTTCTTTTCTTTCTTGTTATTGTTATGTTTGGTTGCTTCCTTGTCACTGTTCTTTGAGCCGAGGGTTTATCGGAAACAACCTCTCTACATTCACAAAGTAAGGGTAAGATTTGCGTACACACTACCCTCCCCATACTCCACTTGTGAGATTATACTGAGTTTGTTGTTGTTGTTGTAATAATATTTACCTTCTCACATTGTCCCTTATGACATACTCTTCTAGAGGTTGACAAGATTTGTGTGGACTAACTAGAAGAATACTTTTGATGCTTCATACATATACATATTAAGCTTATGTGTCAAAAAGATTCAAATCCATGATCAATCACATGGTGCCACACAAATTAGGACTAGGGCATAGTTCATTTCCCCTGATCTCTTTTATTTTTCTTCTTTTGAAGTAAGATTCAAATAATCGTTGCCACTTTATTCCTCATCGTGTGAAGTGCACTTCTCTAAACCGCATGACTTCACCCATGAAGCGGTCATCCTTCACTTTGACTAAGCGATGAAGCAGTTGCTTTTAATTAACACTTTGTATAACATAATCTTCATCTTCTGAACTATGAGTTCTAGACTATGATATCTCTTATACATATCCGGTAACACAACTCTTTTCTATGTTTTTTGGGCCTTTTCTAATATTAATGGATCAAAAACAACAACAACAACCCAGTAAAATCTCATTAGTGGGGTCTGAGGAGGACAGTGTGTACGCAGACCTTACCCTTACCCCGAAGGAATAGAGAGGCTATTTCCAAAAGACCCTCGACTCAAGAGAATAAAAAGACAAAATGAGACAATATAAGTTTCACCATAGAAATCATAGGAAAAACAGGAACAACATGGAATCCAGAAGAAAGATGTAAAGCAAAAGCGATGGCTAGTAAATAGGTCCTGCACTGAAAAACGAAATAGTAAGACACAACATTGCCACTAGCTATCTTACACAAAAACCCTACCAGACTAGGCTCACAAAGGTACAAAGTAAGGCAAGACTCAACTACCTCCTAACCTACAACCCTAATACTCGACCTCCACATCTTCCTATCAAGTGTCATGTCCTCGGAAATCTGAAGCCTTTCCATATCTTGCCTGATCACCTCTCCCAATACTTCTTAGGCCGCCCTCTACCTCCTTTCGTGCCCTCCACAATCAGCCGCTCACACCTCCTTACCGGAGCATCTGGGCTTCTCCTCTGAACATGGCCGAACCATCTGAGCCTCACTTCCCGCATCTTGTCATCAATTGGAGCCACGTGCACCTTCTCCCTAATATCATCATTCCCAATCTTATCCATCCTAGTGTGCCCGCACATGCACTTCAAAAACTATAGTAAAAAGAATAGGTGAAGTTATATCTCTTCCTTCCTTGGATTTAGTTTCAGTTTTGTTTATATCAATCAGAATGCCCCTATAATTCAAGAAATTCGAGACCAAGTAATAAGGAAAACCTAAATTGTTATTTAACTTTCTCAAAAAAACTAACTCTGTAATTGTGTAAGATCAATGTAGGAGGTAATAATTGGAATATGACATGAGCCACATGTCAAGTATTAGCTATCCAATCCAAATACAGGTGCTGCTTTTACGTCCATTATTTCTTGTGATCTATGTTATAGTTGTTTGTTATATCCAAGCATCTTCTAGTTGTAAAAAGTGGTTCCAAGTCTTTCTAATTTGTGTCTTGTTTGGATGCGAATCATGGTAATTTAGGAAACAACCTAAATCTCAAAGCAAGTCAATAACATGGTCACATCTATGTTTAATGTTTTCACCATGTCCTTCCCGACAAGAACTAAGTTCTGTCATAAAGCATCATCCTCGATCAGTATCTTCTAGTCCTTTCAATGATTTTTGAATCTCGATAGTTCCTTAGGGTTGGAAAAATGAAAAGTCCCAAGTATGGTAGATGGAGTGGTTAACCAATTAAACTCACTACCACTATTCTCGTTCTCCTCAAACGCTAGCAATAGCTAAGATGATTCCTTTTCCAACAAAATAAAAGTTTCATTAAGCCGTGAGTTCTTAGTATGAACATTCTTTCTACCTCTCCATATGGTAGAAATTCAAACAGAAGTGTGTGCCTTCATTGACGCCCCTTTGACCATGCTGTCACATTCCATGCTCACCTAGTCTCACCTTCAAACCTGTTGACACATTCCATGCTCACGAGGCCCATCATTCCACCATTTCGAGCGTTCACATCCTCTAGTTGAACCTACCAGACAGACATATCTCAAAAACCCTCGGCAAATAAGATAATAGCCAGGATCTCGCTTCTCCGTAGGGTTCTGTTCATTGCCCTTTTCCATGGCGTGTAAAGAGCAAGTGAACTTTTTCCTGCGTCCCATGCTTCAATTAGAATGTGAAAGCATTTGTTGTGATAAGTAAAGGATCTATTGTTTTTTAGTATTAAAATGGGAGGTGAAATTTTGGATTTGAAAAATTACTTTTAGGGTTGTGGTTGTCCTTTCTTCATTTTTAACTTTCGTCTGTTGGAGTTAAAACATGCATTGTCTAAGTAAACATTTTGCTTCGAGTACAAGTTAAAATGATTGAAGAATATAATTCTCTTATGGCTAATAATACATGAGATGTGCTGCACAACTGGTGCTACATGTGTAAATGTTCGGATGAAGAAGTTGATCATCTATTGGTGCATTGTACAATGACATAGGGTTTGTGGAAGGTGGTCCTGAATTACTTTGGTGTACAGTGGGTGATTCAGGTATTGTTAGAGATGTGCTGCACAACTAGGTTGGTGGACAGGGGTGAAGAAGACAAAGGCATGGAAGGCTACTTGGTTAGCTCTTATATGGGTCGAATGGAGAGAGAAATATGAGAGCTTTTGAGGGGATTGAAAATGATTTTCTACACTTGAGGAATAGCCTTTTGTCTTTGATTACTTTTTGGTGCACTCGCAAAATCCCTACTTGTATAGACGAATGGGTGTCTTTCGTAGAGAATCATGTTTTGCTGTAGATTCTCTACTTTTTGGTATATCTCTTGTATCGGGAGCTTTCCCCATTTTGTTAATAGTATCATTTATCCTTTCAAAATAATACATAAGGACCAGTCTTACCTCTTCCAAATACGAACATAATTGGTTGTCGTTAGGTCGGTAAAACAAAAAGTGGAAGGCTATCTTGAGCAATTTAAAGCTCGTCTAGTAGCTCAAGAATATAAACAATACCATGTATTAGACTATGATAAGACGTTTAATCCAGTGGTGAAACCAATCACCATCTGCACTGTCCTAACTCTTGCGACATCTACGTTTTGGTTAATTCACTAATTGGATGTTATGAATGCTTTTTAAATAGCACTCTTAGTAACCTGGTGTACCTGAAACAACCTCTTGTCTTTGTTCACCCAAACAAGCCCCAAGGGTGTTTAAGTTACTGTCAATTGTTTAAAGGTATTTTGGCATGTCAGGTGATGCGGTCTTGGATAGCGCAGCTAGCACGGAGCTCATTGTGGAAGAATAGAGTATTTTAGCATTGTTTCTTGTTTCCTTCTAAAAATAAGACTTTTTTGTTTTTTTGTTTCCTTTCATAAGTTATTTTAGCATTTCTTTTCATGAAGGGAGATGTTGTTTCCTTTTCTTGGTAGGTTTCTGGTTTCCATATTATTATCCTTGGAGAGCAGAGGCTTTCTGTTACTTATTTCTATTATTTTCTTGTTTTAGTTATTTTCTTTCTTCACTGGAATAAGAATTGTCTTTTCCTAACTTTATGTAATAGCTATAAATACTTGATAGACTTATTTTTTGGAGAGATTTTGCATACTGATTACAAATACCTTTGTGAGGTGGAAATTTTATTCTTCAGGTTGAACTTTGGGATTACTTTCAAGCTTTGTTTCTTACGGTAGTTCTTTCTTCATCAAAACTTTACATTTTGGTTCTTAAGTGTCGTTCTTTGGGGGTAATTGATTTCATATATCAATTATTACCATAGATTCAATTAGGTCAAGATTCTTACTTCTCTTTAATACCTTCGATCATTTATTTTTATATTTGAAGAAGTATAGAGCACTTTGGTTGGTTGTTGACCAACAGAAAGCCTGAGAGAAAAAAAGATGGACGTAATTAGTTTGTTTTTATTATTCCATTGCGTATATGTGAGGTCCCGTGAAATTTTTACTCAAAAACCCGAAATCTTGTAGTGCCAAGTTAAGAGGTTCGGTCGTTTTGGATTGATTTGTGCATTAAAAAGTTAAGGAAAAATGTTTTTTTAGAAGAGCGCGTTTCTGCGGCCCATTATGCGGCCGCATAATAGCAATGCGGGCCGCATAGCTGCCGCAGAGTGAGATAGAATGTTGGCTAATTTTGAAGACAACTATGCGGCCAATTATGCGATCGCACAATAGATATGCGGGCCGCATAGTCGTCGCATAACCTCCTTGGGATTTTTGCAAAGGGTAATTCTGCGGTGCATTATGTGACCGCAGAATCGGTATGCGGACCGTATATTGGTCGCATACCTGCGCAAAATATTCAAGTCTTGAGGGCTACTTTTGCGGTCCCTTTTGCGGGCCGCATATGCGACCGCAGATTGAGTCGGGGCTCCTATTTTCTAGCTTTTAAAATCTGACCCCATCCCGTTAAATACACCCCATTAGACCCTCTTGTGCCATTTTTTTTACTACACTTAGAGTGAGAGACAGAGTTCTAGACCCCTCACCAAGTCACTATTCAATCCTTGCCTAAATCTTTGGAGATAGTAAAGTTACTAAGCCTTCATCCTAAGAGGTAAGAACTTGTGGCCTAACCTTTGATTTCGAAATTCCTGTTAAAATAAGTAATTAACAAGTGATTTCATGGGTATAAGGGTTGATTTCTTGCATGCATGTATGATAAAAGGGTATGGGGAGACTGTGAGCTAAAAATGTAACAAATGGGGTGTAGGATGATATTATCTCACACAAAAAGGTCTTAAAATCATAATGCACACTTAGTGCTTGATAATGTGCTCAAATAAGCTAGAATCTTGATCATCTCTCTAATTCTTGGTTCAACTTGTAATTCCCATAAAATAGATCGAAGTTGCTAAGAGTTCCAGAATTATTGTAAGAAAAGCTCTATTGAGGTATGCATGGCTAAAACCCCCTTTTCTTAGAAATTGAGCTCCCTTGGTGTCCATGCAAATATTGTAAGCCCGAAATTTGATTGATGTAGTACTTGTATTTCAAATGAATTGATGTTGCAAGAATATATGTTAAAGGTGTGTCTCAATGTGTTCAATATGCTATTCTTGATAAATTGAGGATGTGTGAAGAATGTAAACTATGTGCTAAAATGCCTAGATTTCAAGTCAAGTTTAAATTGTAGTTATTATGCCAAACTATGTGAAATCCTCTCTATGCTTACGACCTGAATTGCTCTCGTATGTGCCCATTATCTTAAATTGCGAGGTTAATATTGAAAGTGGAAATGGTGTGAAATGTGAGTTATGAAATGTGGCCTAGTGCCAAGTATGATGTGATAATTGTGGCCCCAAGTGCCGATGAACTGATATATGTGAAACAAAAATTGAAGTGAGATGATTGATGGAAATGGGAAACGTCTTGGTAAGACGGCTTAGCCGATCGGGCCGTGATCGGACGCCATGCTGCACACATGGTGGTATTGTGTTGATATTGAAACGGGAAAATGAGAATGAAATTGTGATTGAGGTATATGTCTCAAATGAGGCAGCTTAGCCGATCAGGTCGTGATCGGACTCCGCGAAAGAAAGTGTTGGTAATATACATCCAAGGAATTTGCATATAAAAAAGATATACAAAACTCAACACAGATCAGATTTCCACAACTACGTGTACGTCATCAAGGAGAAACATGAGAGGACGACCCTAAGGGGATGGATCCTTATCCACACGCTGCATGGACAACTCACGTGCCATAATCATAAGAAGCGCATGGATAATCACGTGCCGTAGTCAACTCAACCTGCAGGGACAACTTACTTGCTGTCAAATCAGTCCATAACACATAAAGTAGATACAAGAATACATGTATACAGTCAATTGATATCAAATCACATACTTCTAGGCCGATAAAATAGCATGCTAAAGTGTATGTATGTGCAAAGTGTACGATTACAACTCAAATTAGGCGGTTACGCCACACAACAATGAGTATTATGTTCAAATAGGAAAAGCGAACCTACACATGATCTCTAATATGATTCACGAGGTTACATAGTCATACAAACATAATAAGCATGATAGTAAGAATCACAATATCCAAATTAAGGCATAATATAGCCTAAGAACTATCCCGAACATAAATAAACCCTGTGCACGCACATACGTTCGACCCCTTGCATGTACGCTACCCTTAGCACGTAGCCAACAATAATTCAAGCAACTAGTCCCTCAGACAAATGCTAGGTAAGATACTTACCTCAAACGAGCCAAGTCAATACTCCAAAAATGTGTTCCTCGTGAATCGACCTCCGAACGGCTCAAATCTAGTCACATAACAGACCACGATTTCAAATAATGCTAAAAAAATAATAACGAAGCATAAAGGCTCGATCTTTAATCAATTACACAAAATCAACTAAGAAGTCAACTCGAGTTTATTTTCCTGAACCCGACCAAAATCACAAATCCCGATTAATCATTCGAATATGAGTCTAAACATATAAGTTATATCCAAATCCAACTTCAATCTGGGTTCAAATCCCAATTATCCATTTTCCAAAATCTAGCACAAAACCCCAATTTTTCTCCTTCAAATCCATGTTATAAGTGCACAAAACAATGGGGAATCAAGATCTAACATCAAAATCAAGTAGAAATCACTTACCCTCTAAAGTATGGTAAATTCCTCACAAACTCGCCTCTAGCCAAGCTCCAAAGCTCCAAATAATAAATGAACCAAACCCTCAAAATATTAGTTTGCACAGAGACTTCCGCATTTGCGGACAAAAGTATTGCATCCGCAACACTGCTCTTGTGTCCAAGACCTCGCATCTGCGAGCTTTCATTAAATATCATCCCTCTCGCACCTATTGAGCCCATCTCCGCTTCTGCGATCCCGCAGGTGCGACCACTTTCCGCTTCTGCGCACAAGCTTTCGCAGAAGCAGTCCTCTAGCTCCCAACACCTACCTGCATCTGCGATCACAAGTCTACTTCTGCGGACTCGCACATATACATAATGCCTTACAGGTGCGACACACTAGCACTAAAGCTGCCTCTCAACTCCAAAATGATCCGGAACCCATAAAAAACTCCCAACTTAACCCCTTAGGAAACCCTGTATAATCATACCGACAAGTCCTAATACCTCACTCAAACCTAACCAAAGGATCAAAACACCATAATTAACATCAAACCAAAAATCGTCGATCAATCTCTTAAGTTTCAAACCTTCTAACTTCCACAAACATGTCCTAACCATGCCTAAACATTTCGAATTTCAATCTAACTATGCACACAAGTCCCGAATGACAAATAAACCTATTCCAAATCTTGAAACAATAATCTGAATCTGGTATCATTAAAATCAACCCCCAATCAAATTTAGGAACTCTCCAAACCTTCAAATTGTAACTTTTGGTACATAGAGCCCAAACATCATAGAAAACTCCAAATCCAAATTTGAACATATGCCTAAGTGCAAAATCACCATATGAACATATTGGAACTATCAAATCACCAATCCGAGGTCGTTCACATAAGAGACAAACCTTGATCAATTCTTACAAACTTAAGCTTCCAAAAATAAAACTAAGTGTTCCAATCACTCTCAAACCTTTCCAAAACCAACTCGACCATCCCCGCTAGTCACCAAACATCAAATAGACATATAGGGAATATCAAATAGGGAACAACGCTAAAATACACAAAATAACTGACCGGATCGTTACACTATAAGTCCAATACCCTACTCACGGGACATTGTCTATACACCTAATACATTTACTAAATGATATGTCATGACACTTTCTATGTGAAAGTGGTTTTAGTATGTTTGAATTGTTAATTGTTAATACGTATATTGTATTTTCTTGGTAATAATTTTATTATTTGCATGAATACTTTATTTGGATGATTGTAGCGGGAATGAGAAACTAATATGAAAATCTGGCATGAATACTTTATTTGAATGTCCATTTATTGTAAGACAAAGAAGAAGCTCAACTTATAGGCTCGAACCCAAAATTCAAAATCGAACTTAAAAAATCCAATCCAATCCGAGCTTATTTTGATTAGAGTTGGATTATAATTTCTTCAATCCGAAAATAAAAAAATTTAAACCAAATTTTCATATCCAATCTGAACTACCCGAACACCCACCACTAGATGTCATGCCTAAATTTGGTTAATTTGTATTTTAGAAATTTAAAAACAAAAACTGAAAAATTAAATTACATAATATATAGTATATATACATATTATTTTCATAAAAAAATATTTGATTATTGGTATATGGTTAGTAAAGGAATCAAATAGTATTAAATAATGCCTACTACTTTAATTGTGATATTAGACGTACAAACTTATTAGCTTCTTAGCTATAAGAGACTAGTAGTATTTGTCTATCTCAATCAAATATGCTTTACTATTGATATGTTAAAATGAATTTAGAAAACATATTAAAGAGTTTGATATTACAACTTTCCATTCAGCACCATAATTATTCTTTTTTTCGTCATTTTTTTCGTTATTCATATATATAACTATAACTATTAGACTAATTTGGATTCCTATTATCTTATACGATACAACTAAATAATCGAAAAATCAAACTGAAAAAGACTAAACCGGAGAGAAACAAACTTAATCTAACTAAATTTATTTTAGTTCAGATTAGGGGACATCTTTTCAAAACCTTAAAAACGAAAAATTAAAACGGAACAATGCAAAACAAACCGAAAAATTGGATGCACACTGGTATAAGATCAACATTGATGGTGCCTTTAGGAGCAATTGTCTACAAGGGGAATCAACGGAGCCATACGTAATGACAGAGGCCTATGGAGAATGGGCTAATTCAAAAAGTGCCATGCAACAACGCCAATCCAAGCGGAATTACAAGCATTACGGCATGCACTTCAACTAACAATCAGGGAAAAAATCTTCCCAGTTGAAATAGAGACAGATGCCACGGAGGTCATACGATTTCTTCACAATGATTATCCAACTTACAATGATTTGATCTATGAATGCAGTTGGTTAATGGAGAAGGCACTGCTACTAGGGGAGATCACATTGAAGCATATCCTTCACGAAGGGAACATGGCAACACTTCTTTTGGCAAAAGCAGCTCTTATGCAAACTAGCTATAATGTTATGTACCTTTGTTTTACCGCTTGAATTTGTAATTGATGCCTATCACAAAGATCATGATGGGTTTGTCTATATAAGAAAATGTTCAACTTCTATGTGTTGTAATATGGCTGCATGAGGTAATGACAATGCCTTAGAAGGCATAACTATAGCCCATCGAGGCATGTGTAGTGACGATAGTCCAAGGAATTTGCATATAAAAAAGAATTTTAAACAATCCTCTTTGATAATAGAATTTTATGAAGGAAGTATTAAAACTCTTTCTAAACAATCCTCTTTGATAATAGAATTTTAGCTTCGAATCCCATTTGTATAACCACTGTGGAACCTGAGCGAAAAGCCGCTGGGCTCTAGATGTTTGTTTCCTCCACACCCTTTGATGATAGCTTCTACTTCCTCTTCTTCAATGGTCGTTGTGGTCAGTCATTATTGTATGTTGTCTTTGGAAGATCCTCATCCCTCATAATCTAGCATTAATCCATGATTTTAATAGGTCATTTGTGTTAGAAATCCAGGTTATAACAATAAATTTTCTTCAACACAAAGATGTTATTAGAAACTCAAATTTTTTTCCTTTAATATCTGGTTCTTCCACTGTCTTTACTCCTGCCAACCACCTCCACCCTTTATAATTCTGTTGTTAGACCCTCCTATTTGCATTTGCAATCCTTTGAAAAAAGAATTCTGTTTATCCCCACACGTATATCACAAAACACTTTATCTCTGTCGTAAATATATTCCTCCTCTGCCAGTTTTTGCAACTCCTCCAGTAGGGAACTTTTTCTGCCTTAGTTCCTCATCTGTCAAGCTGTAGGTTTTAGTTTTCCAATCTCCCAATATGTTCAAAATCTGTCTTCTTGGTTTCTTCCTGTCTATGAACGTTCCAGCTCTGCTTTTTAAAGATCTCTCTTAACAACTTTTCAGCTAATATATAATTGGTCCCGCCTCTTAACTCTATTGGAAGGCCACCAGTTACTAACGAGATCCATAAATCCATATGCATCCATTAATTCTCAAAATTAAAATACAAATTACTTATTCCCAATTATCGCATCCAAAAGTATAGTTTCGTCTTGTTGTGTCCCTGGATGCTTTGATCAATAAAACTACCATTACTTCAATAAAAGTATAGGTTTGTGATATGATGTTGGATTATGCAAGGTGTATTGCTTGATCTTCTTAAACTGCTCATCCTATTCCAATGAAAATAAAATCTATTAATCCTGGTAGCTGCTGGTCTATCACCTCCTTGTAACCCAGTAAATCTACTCTCCTTAAGTAGGGATCAGATTTAGCTTTGGGATGAAATTTGAGAAACCCTCACTGAATTTAGTCATATTTGGCAGGTTTCACTTTCTACATAACACAAGGAACATTGAAAAGACCTTTTATTGTTGCTCATTCAAACCACATATACTTCCTTTTCTATAAAATTGTGGCCCATTAACTCAGGACCACATTTGCAATTGTAGTTAACACTTGAAAAAGTGACAGAAGTAGAAAAGTGTTGTAGTGTGTGACCACCTAATCTGTAATCATGAATTTTTAAAGAGGGACATTTTGTTTATTTTTTCATGTTATAATATGTTTCCTCGCCTAATTCCTTTCTTTGACCAAACACCTAGAGATAATTTTTTTCCGTAGATAGCGGTGAGACCTGAACCAAGGACGTCTGCCTGCATTGATGCCATTTGAAGAAAGAAAAGAAAACCTCTTATTAGTTTGATTGATTAACAAGGTACAAGAGGGGTTTCTTATATAAGATTCTAGTAAAATGTACAGTATAATATGCAATCATTCTCTATGCCTAAGACGGCATATAAATATTATATAATTAAATGCATAATATCCTTATATACAACAACAACAATAAAAAAAACCAATGTTACTCCCACAAGTGGGGTTTGGGAAGGGTAGTTAGTATACAACCTTACCCCTACCTTATGCAGGTAGAGAGGCTATTTCTGATAGACCTTTGGCTCAAGACAAACATACATAATCACATAGAGAAGAATGCAATGGTGTGAAAGTCAAGGAAGCAGTAACAACAAGATAGTAGAAAATCCAAAACGTAAGCAACATCAGATAGTAATAGAAATTTAAGAGTATGGAAAAACTAAAGTACATTACTACTACTAGAATAAAGGGAGAGACGCTCAATTACCTACTAATCTTCTACCTTAATTCTCTCCCTCTAGACCCTCCTATTAAGGGTAGGAGGGTATTGAGGGTCATGTCCTCGGTAACCTGAAGATGCACTATGTCGTGCCTAATCACTTCTCCCCAATACTTCTTCGGCCTACCTCGACCGCGCCTCGGACCCGCCATCGCCAATCTCTCACACCTTTTTACTAGGCATCTGGACATCTCCTCTTTACGTGTCCGAACCATCTCAGCCTCGTTTCCTGCATCTTGTCCATACCTACCTTGTCCCGAATATCTTCATTCTTGACCATATCTCTCCTAGTATGCCGACATCCATCTCAACATCCTCATATCCGCTACTTTCATCTTCTGGACATAAGAGTTCTTGACGGGCCAACACTCCGCCCCTTACAACATAATCGGTCTAACTACTACTTTGTAGAACTTATCTTTAAGTCTTGGTGGTACATTCTTTTATCACACAAGACACCGAATGCTAGCCTCCATTTCATCCATCCTACTTCAATACGGTGTGTGATATCATTGTCGATCTCCCGATTGCCTTGGATCACTGACCAAAGGTACTTGAAACTTCCTTTCTTAGGGATGACTTGTGAGTCCAACCTCATTACCACGCCAGCCTCCTGAGGTGCGTCACTGAACTTGCACTCCAAGTATTCTGTTTTAGTGCTCAACCTGAAGCCTTAAGACTCCAGGGTCTGTCTCCAAACATCCAACTTAGCATTAACTTTGCCTTGCGTCTCGTCATTCCGTACTATGTCATCTGCAAATAACATACACCATGGTACCTCCCTTTGAATGTGACGTGTCGATATATGCATCACCAAGGCAAATAGAAATGGGCTAAATGATGATCCTTGGTGTAACCCCATCATGACTGGGAAGTATTCCGAGTCTCCTCCCACTGTCCTCACCTGGGTTTTAGCTTCATCATACATGTCTTTAATCGCCCTAATGTATGCTACCGATACACCTTTAGCTTCCAAACATTTCCATAAAGCCTCCATTTGGATTTTGTCGTATGCTTTTTCTAGATCAATGAACATCATATGCAAGTCCTGTTTCCTCTTCCTATACTGCTTCATCAATTTCCTCACAAGATGGATGGCTTCCATGGTGGAACGTCTCGACAATGAATCCGAAATGGTTCTCGAGAATAGACACACTCCTCCTTACTCGCATCTCCACCACCCTCTCCCAAACCTTCATAGTGTGGCTTAGCAGCTTGATGCCTCTGTAGTTGTTGCAATTTTGAATATCACCCCTGTTGTTGTACAACGGAATCATCAAACTCCATCTCCATTCTTCGGGCATTTGCCATACTAAAAATAACATTAAACAATCCAGGTAGCCACTCCAAACCTGCCCTGCGCGCGCCTTTTCAAAATTCCACCGGAATCTCGTCTGGCCTGGTCGTTTTTCCCCTCCTTCAACTTCCTTAGCTCTAATACACCAACAATACCGAAAATCTCGTCGACTCTCGGCCTGTTCTAAGCTCCCGTTTGGCCATAAACTTTGGCAATTGTTTTTAATTTTATTTGAAAACATTGTTTGTTCATGGAATATGATCAGTTTTTGGAAAATTTTTAAATTTTTTTCAAGTACCCAAAGACTAGTTTAGGGAAGTTTTTGGGTGAATTTTTTTTCCCAGTCACAAAACTTCAATTTTTTTTCAAAATAAAACGTATGTCCAAACACAACTTAACTTTCAAAAACTATTTTTCAGCACAATTTCAAAAACTCTTTTTTCAACTTTTAAGAAATCTATATCCAAATGCTAGCCAAATCACCTAGCACAATACTCATGTACTGTTTTTCGTTTAAAATATGGAATTATGCATGCCATCTTCGTGTAATATGTGCATCTTCCATAATATCCTTATGTATCTTATAGAATTATCTATAATATTTTCCTTACTCAAGTTCGACTAATCTTGCAATGTGAATCTTGACATTGTTAATAAAAAATTTAGTCACTAAGAAGTTTTCTTGTTTTCTTCACATGGTGTGAGAGCCTCTATGGTTTTAGTACAATCTCAACCAGCTTTCGCCTAAGCTGCCTGCCCTACCAATTTTATTCTTTTTGTCTTTTCTATATTTGGCAATTGGTGCGGCTCTTCTCTCAGATGATTGACACCCTTCTCTCTCGAGCAACCATTGTGGAGTTGCTCCTCTCATGGTGATTAAAGCCTCCACCATAAGTGACTAACAGTCTTCTCTAAACCTTGAATTTCTTGCTATTATTTGCCAATTCAAGCAAAGCTGATAATGTTATGGAGACTTGCAACAAACACCATTTTTGGTGGCTGAGAGTGAGTCCATTTTCATCTGTAGTATAGAGAGAAATTTCTTTCAGTGTGCAGTTACAGCTATTTTCTAGAGGAAAGAGTTCCATCATAGCCTTTTTTTAGGGTGATTGTGCACTATTCCAATGATATTTCTACGGAAACTTTCTGTGTTTCCAAAACAAAACTCAAGTTGATTTTCTCACTTTGAGTTTGAGGAGCAAGTTGAATATTACGAGGATAGTTATATAGACCCACATATGTGTTATTGAACTAGAGTAAGGAAAATATTGCAATATATTCTATAGGATATGTTAGGGTATTATGTACTTAACTATAGAATGTTTACTTGTTTTATTAGGCATAGAGGATGATTACCTAGCATATTGTATATATCCCAAGAATCTTATATTAGGGGTTCCATTTGCACTTTGTTTATTAGTCAAGTTAATAAGAAGTTTTCTCTTATTTCATTGCAAGACGCTACCTTTCAAGCTATTTTTTCCTGAGGCACACCTTGTTCCCGACTATTAATGTACTCTACTCACTGCTTCAAACAAGTAAGCTTATAAAGTGTCAGCTATACAAGTGATACACTTCAAACCAACCCAAACTCCACCGCACTCATATATGCTCCCGTACTTGTCTTACCAAGTCTGTCAGTTTTACTCCGCAACTTAGTCTGAAGCAGTAGATGCTGGCATTCCACTTCTCAACAAGCATCTTTAATCTGCTTCTCTTGTTCTTGTTGTTTTTTCTCCTAATATTCTGACACGGTACGTTAGCCTTATTTGTTCTGTTCAGCTAGCCTTCTTCTCATAGCGTCTTTTTCATAGTTGGCATGAAATTCCAACTTCTTGAGTTCCATCTGGTCTCTTAGCTTTGATCCCCTGAACTTTCCATTACTCTTCGAACCGGGCTTCTTTCTTTTCTTACTTTTTCCTTTCAATTCTCATGGATAGCTCCACAGATACAGCCTTAACAATCAACATAATGGGTCTAGAAAAAGAAATCTAGAGATTGCACACAGGATGGACATATGCAGATGTGATAATCTCTTCATGGCAGACCTTCATGCAAGATTGAATGTACCTGTTGTACATTTAATGTGGCTCAAACTAGTGGAAGTTGCCTCCAATCTTTACCTAATTCAAAGAACGAACACCGTCCATGTGCTTATATTGACCATCTTCAGTATCAAACAGTAATACAACAATTATCCTTAGATATTGCTTTGCGGTCCAGCCTTTTGACTCATTTGTTTATGTGACCTATGGTTTAGAAAGTGAAAAGTGTAAAATAGGAATAAGGTTTGTGGGCCAAAAGCAAAAAGTGAGAAATGAAACGTATGCTTATTTTGAAGTGAAGCTAAGACTTCTCAAAAATAAAACTATAACAAACATATGCGAACTTAATACTCCCGCTGTCTCAATTTGTTTGACACCGTTTCTTTTTTTTTTTATCTGTCCATAAAGATTGAAACGTTGATATATTTTGAAACTCCTAATATTTACCTTAGGCAAGTTCTACAGAGTGGTAGTTAGATCTACTATGTTGTATGGTGCGGAGTGTTGGCCAGTCAAGAAATCCCATGTCCAGAAGATAAAAATAGCAGAAATAAGGATGTTGAGATGGATATGTGGGCATAGCAAGAAAGATAAGATTAGGAATGAAGTTATTAGGGACAAGGTGAGAGTGGCCCCTGTGGAAGACAAATTGCGGAAAGCGAGGCTGAGATGGTTCGGACACGTGATGAGGAGAGACATAGACGTGCCGGTTAGGAGGTGTGAGAGGTTGACCATGACTGGTCTGAGGAAGGGTAGAGGTAGGCCTAAGTAGTACTGGGGAGAGGTGATTAGGCAAGACATGACGTTACTTCAGCTTACCAAGGACATGACCCTAGATAGGAAGGTTTGGAGGTCGAGAATTAGGGTCGAAGGTTGATAGATAATCGAGGGTGTCTCCTAGTATTACCGGCAGTGTTAGTAATATTCTTATTTCCTGTTCCTAGACCTTTTATTATATGTTGTGTCCTTCCTACCTATAGTATTAGTAATATTCTTGTATTTCCTATCTCTGGATATTTGTTAATATACACGAGTCTTTGTTTTTTCTTTTCTTTCTTGTTATTGTTATGTTTGGTTGCTTCCTTGTCACTGTTCTTTGAGCCGAGGGTTTATCGGAAACAACCTCTCTACATTCACAAAGTAAGGGTAAGATTTGCGTACACACTACCCTCCCCATACTCCACTTGTGAGATTATACTGAGTTTGTTGTTGTTGTTGTAATAATATTTACCTTCTCACATTGTCCCTTATGACATACTCTTCTAGAGGTTGACAAGATTTGTGTGGACTAACTAGAAGAATACTTTTGATGCTTCATACATATACATATTAAGCTTATGTGTCAAAAAGATTCAAATCCATGATCAATCACATGGTGCCACACAAATTAGGACTAGGGCATAGTTCATTTCCCCTGATCTCTTTTATTTTTCTTCTTTTGAAGTAAGATTCAAATAATCGTTGCCACTTTATTCCTCATCGTGTGAAGTGCACTTCTCTAAACCGCATGACTTCACCCATGAAGCGGTCATCCTTCACTTTGACTAAGCGATGAAGCAGTTGCTTTTAATTAACACTTTGTATAACATAATCTTCATCTTCTGAACTATGAGTTCTAGACTATGATATCTCTTATACATATCCGGTAACACAACTCTTTTCTATGTTTTTTGGGCCTTTTCTAATATTAATGGATCAAAAACAACAACAACAACCCAGTAAAATCTCATTAGTGGGGTCTGAGGAGGACAGTGTGTACGCAGACCTTACCCTTACCCCGAAGGAATAGAGAGGCTATTTCCAAAAGACCCTCGACTCAAGAGAATAAAAAGACAAAATGAGACAATATAAGTTTCACCATAGAAATCATAGGAAAAACAGGAACAACATGGAATCCAGAAGAAAGATGTAAAGCAAAAGCGATGGCTAGTAAATAGGTCCTGCACTGAAAAACGAAATAGTAAGACACAACATTGCCACTAGCTATCTTACACAAAAACCCTACCAGACTAGGCTCACAAAGGTACAAAGTAAGGCAAGACTCAACTACCTCCTAACCTACAACCCTAATACTCGACCTCCACATCTTCCTATCAAGTGTCATGTCCTCGGAAATCTGAAGCCTTTCCATATCTTGCCTGATCACCTCTCCCAATACTTCTTAGGCCGCCCTCTACCTCCTTTCGTGCCCTCCACAATCAGCCGCTCACACCTCCTTACCGGAGCATCTGGGCTTCTCCTCTGAACATGGCCGAACCATCTGAGCCTCACTTCCCGCATCTTGTCATCAATTGGAGCCACGTGCACCTTCTCCCTAATATCATCATTCCCAATCTTATCCATCCTAGTGTGCCCGCACATGCACTTCAAAAACTATAGTAAAAAGAATAGGTGAAGTTATATCTCTTCCTTCCTTGGATTTAGTTTCAGTTTTGTTTATATCAATCAGAATGCCCCTATAATTCAAGAAATTCGAGACCAAGTAATAAGGAAAACCTAAATTGTTATTTAACTTTCTCAAAAAAACTAACTCTGTAATTGTGTAAGATCAATGTAGGAGGTAATAATTGGAATATGACATGAGCCACATGTCAAGTATTAGCTATCCAATCCAAATACAGGTGCTGCTTTTACGTCCATTATTTCTTGTGATCTATGTTATAGTTGTTTGTTATATCCAAGCATCTTCTAGTTGTAAAAAGTGGTTCCAAGTCTTTCTAATTTGTGTCTTGTTTGGATGCGAATCATGGTAATTTAGGAAAC